TGTGATATTCTGAATTTCTGGGCCTCACTCTAAAAAGTTAAATCAGTGATAATAATAAGTACAAAATGACATTATTAACTCTGTCAAAGAAAGGAAGAGGATTATGTCCTGATGGGACATCATATCTGTCCAATATCCACCCTTCATTTTTAAAAATAATACTGGCTAGCTCATCAGTCACCTGTAAACCACAAAATACTTAATCTTTTATATTATTTAACCTTACTCTACTGAACAAAAGGTCATCTTGTGTAATGATTGACATTTGTCTCCATCCAAACTCTCTCATTAATTGTCCCAATGATTCACCAACATAACGAAATGAGACAAGAGTGCGAAAGAAGTTCCTAAATCTGGTTCTGTCATTTAAAACATTAGCAGCTGCTGCATAAGCTAACTACATATAGAATCATTATAAATACAATGCTTACATATTGTATGCAAACATTACATGCAAGCACTACCAAATGTATAGTAACTCGCTGTGTTCATTCTCACACTACTGATCATGTACAGGATAGTAGTACATGCACAGACATGATAATCAAATTATCTGAATAACCTGGGGTATATTCCAGTAGTGACTAATTTCAGCTACTGGTATTGTAGCTGTAGAACACCCACAACCCAGGAGTGAGATGTATGTAGCATCACGATTCATTAAATCAAAGAAAATGTCAAGAGCTTTAGTATGATTGCACTGGAATTAGAAAAATAAAAAATGTTATTCTAACTGAAAATTGTTACCCCAGAGTCCAGTATATCTGTATATGCTAGTGTGTAGTTTTGTAAAATATCATCTCTCTCATTTATAATTTGCAGTGCTAGGTCAACAGCTGGTCTGCCTCCACTAGCTAGAAACGATCCGGTGATAGTTGTAATGTATCCAAACTGGAGTTTCGATTTTGTAGCTGGTTCTACGGTGAAGATAAACGGCGCTATCAACCAGAGATAAAACTGCAACTTGCACATCTTTGATCAATAATATGAAATTTGGGTGGGGCTAATTATCCTCGTTCCTCCTACTCTCTATCTTGTTATGATAAGTATAAAAACAATTTTTATGGTAAAATTAAAAACAACACAAATGAACAATTCTAGGTTCTTAATCTCGCTCTTCAGTGGCAGAACTTTTTATGTCATTTGTCTAAAAGATACAGCCTAACTAACAATTAATAATCATAAATGATGCACTTACTTGAACATGATCTGTTTGTATTTCCAGTTCTAGCACCGTCTTCCTTCACCATTTGTATAGTATTAACCTTATTTGTTACTGCATGTGAAGCACCAGTATTACATGTATTTTCTGCATCTGAAAATATTTTCTCCCCTTGAGGATCTCGATATAATCGAATCATCTAAAATATAAAATTTACTTTAAAGATCTGAAGAACTGCATGGTTTACTTTAGGGATAAAAATGAGTCCAAGGAACAGTGATGCATCAGTAAGCAATCCTAATCCAAAAAGTGCAGCAAAGGTATTATGATGATTAGCAAGAGTAAACTCAGTCACTGTCAACAGAACTAGTATTGTACTGTTTATGTAAATGATTGCAGCAATTTCTTTTGACTCATTGAGAATTCTGACTTTGACACGGCGAGTATGGAATGCCATAAAGATAGCCAATAATTGAAGCATGGTTTTATAACCAAATGAAAAGGCAAGCCAAACAACAGTTCCAGTTTTTTGACTGCACGTTAAAATGAAGTTATACTGTATTCTATTCTTTTCCTAATATTTTCATAAAGTATTAGCAATAAATTGATGCATGATTGCCTGGAATTAGGTCTAGTTACCCTTAGCATTGCCCATAATTCCCTGCATGCTTACATTTGCTTGCTGTAAGTGCTCGTGATCAACTTCTTTAAAACTAGCAAGTTTTGATTGCGGAATAGCAGAACCAACCAAAATGATGACAAAATCAATGGCAACAACAACAAATACAATTAGAAAAAGAACCCAATCCTTGATTCCCTATGAATGATTTTTTGATTGATTTCATTATTAAAATAATTATAATAATTACTTTCTTGTTTGGTTTTGGATTGTTAAAGATATAATACACCCTCCATGTTTTTGATAATATGACGCCAAAGCAAAGACTGTATCCCAAAGAAACCATCCATTCACGTATCTAAAGCATATATATTTTAACTTAAAAGAAATGAACTTACATTACAGAATATTGATTGCATTGATTTGGTAGTTGACGAATGAGAATAGAAGAAGATACAGGTATACAACATTGCTGAGCCCAGTATTATGATATAATTTAAGTTTGGGCTAGTCATTTTTACAACTCTGATATTCAAGCATAAAATTATATTATAAAGCTACCACACTTACTTTTTACTTCTGAAGGCAATATTGAAAATGAAACAAATGACAACAAAAACAAGGCCACATACAGCTGCTATATCATATACAATAATCAACACCATATTGTTTTGGTGAATATTTGATTCTGGAAACCCATCATAAGGAGGTTGAAGGCCTATTTAAAAGATTTTAAAGTCTAAGTTTTACATGTGAAAATATACTACCATGTCTCTGCCAAAGTGTACTGTTTGACTCTTCTTTTTTGAGTACAAAAATGCTTCCTTTAGGCTTTATAGTCACATCACCAAAAGTAACTCTAGCCATTGATGAATCTGTTATAAATAAAATACATTTAATAATTAATAGCAACTTATTAAAATTACCTGTTGTTGTTCTATATTGTTGACAAAAAACTATGTTTTCATTTCTACTGCCATTTTCATTAAACTGAATCTGACCCTATATTAACAAATGCAAACAAAATTGTTACAAAGTAGAACTTAGCATCTTACTGTTATTCCCAGGAAATTAATTTCACTAAAACTTTGTCTCAGAATACAGCCTAGTTTTGTGTTGGTGTAGTTAAATTGTTCCAATGGTACTATATCTCCTGGTACATTCTCACACCCACTGTCACTACCAGATGATATTTTTTTAGATGCTATATCTAACCCAATGGCTATTGCCCACACTCCATCAAAAGCAACCCCAGATAATCCTAGTTCAGTTAGATTTTCATATTTAGGGTCTTTAAGGAGAGCAGTATATGTACTAAAATACATCTGTGGTGTCTGATTATAAATGATTTTATAATACGTATAAATGAATATACTTACTAGACCAGAAAATGTTACTAATGATTTGTTTTGCAGTGTTAAAAACACATCAAGAATAAAGCCAATGCTGCCTGATACAGCCTTTATCATGATTGCATCAGTACACGAGGAATTTTTGTAAGATGACAGACTACTTGGCATCCACCAATCATCATTATACCACATTGGAATGATCCACAAATAGTCAGGGCTAGTCATACCTCTATAATATGCCTTCAGAAACACCTTAATATGCACACAAAATTAATTGTTATCATACTTCACACAATAGCTGATAAGCAATATCAGGATATGTATTAATGTGGATTATTCTAAACCTTTGGGCTTCACTCTAATTAACAATAAAATCTATAAACATATTGTTTTGACTCTCACATATTCATTATGAACAAAATGATTGCCATAATTATATAAGTAACTAACTCTGTCAAAGAAAGAAAGAGGATTTTGTCCTGATATAACAACATATCTGTCCAATATCCATTTTTTATTATTAAAAATTATCTTGATGTCTTCAGCCACCTAAAGCCCAACATACACTAGGCAACATGTTGCTAACAAAACTTGTGGCAACTTTGATCTTGTAAGCAACATTATGCTTACAAGATCAAAGCAATCACAAATGTTGCTAGCAACATGCTGCCTATAAAGTAAAACATGAATATACCATCTATCTGAAAATTTTTACTGTGATAAATTTTACTGAATTAGAATTTTGCAAAAAAAATTAGATCATCCACATAATTACATGCCACACTGAATAATACATGACACAGTCTTATTCAGTAAAAATTAAATCACAGCACAATTTTAAAATTTTGTACCACACTAATTTCCTGATCTATGGTAATTCATCTAAAATGTACAGCCAATCTTACTCCTGTGAATAGACTTTCATCTTGTGTTATGATTGACATTTGTCTCCATCCAAACTCTCTCATTAAATGAGCTAATGAAATGCCAACATAATGAAATGAGACAAGAGTGCGGAAGAAATTCCTAAATCGATTGCGATCAGTCAAAACATCAGCACCAGTAGCATAAGATAACTGTTTAAAATGTAAAAACTATAGTCTGCATTAAACTAACTTGTGGTATGTTCCAGTAGTGACTGATTTCTGCAACTGGTATGGTAGATATAGAACACCCACAACCCAATAATGATACATATGTAACGTCACGATTAACCAATTCAAAAAATTTATCAAGACCTGCTGTGCGATTGCACTGAAATTTTAGATATTAAAAAGTAGATTAGATCTATAATGCTTACTTTTGAGTCCAATATATCTGTATAGCTCAGTGTATAGTTCTGAAGAATATCTTTTCTCTCATTTATGAGTTTTAATGCCAGATCAACAGCTGGTATGCCTCCACTAGCTATGAATGATCCAGTAAGAGTAGTAATATATCCAAAGTGGAGAGGGGATTTTGTAGATGTCACTGTGATAATGAAGGATGACATCCAGCACTGGAAGATAAAGGCTATATGCTGCATTTTAGTCTCGATTTTAGCCCTTCGTTTGTTGAAAAGCATTTTATAGCATCTAACTTGATGTGGGCGTGGCTCGCTCAAATCAGCTGATTATAATGGGAGTATATAGTATAATGGGTCAAAAATTTCTGGCGGAATCTGGCCCTATACTCCTGACAATTCAATATGACAGGTGCTAGTACAATAAGCCAACTGCTTAATACTCACCTACGCAAGTGGGGCAAATCTAATGACTTAGACTATTCTATTTTCTAGTGACTTAGTCTCAAAGTCACTGGAAACATTTTCAAATTCTGGCATTATTACAATATTTATCATTTTTTATCACAATTAATACAGATGCAGGTACATGTAACTTGATAGTCGATATTTGAGTAAAGCTTAAAATATGAGCATAAATTTATGCTCATATTTCAAGCTTTATTCAAATATCAACTATCAAGTTACATGTACATGCATGCACATGTCTAAGTCATTGGACTTGCCACACTTGCGTAGGCAGGTACTAAGCAGTTGGATTGTTGTACCTATGCATGTATCACAATAATGAGCATAACTGGATTCATAATCATTCATTTCAAAGCATAATAGGGTGGAATTTAGGGCAGTGCCTAAAAGCATAGCTAATAGGCAAAAAATTAAAGCATAATTTGCCTAGCCCTACTGTTATCAGAGTTGATGCACAGTTTAAACAGCTGATGCAAAAAGAAACTTAATGTCAATCCTATGTGCCACATAAACTTCATGATAGATGATTATGGTTATTATTTTTTATATAAAGATCTACACCCTGAACTGATCCTATGCATGGCGGGTTTATCAAATTATATCTGATAACAAATTAAAGTTGTCAACATGTGTCCACATGCAAATACTATGTATTGCATCCAGTGATGTGCATGCAGAGTCCAACTAATCACACGCCAAGAATTAGGTTTTATTTGGTCTTCAATAATTAATTCAATTTTATAACCACAAAGTCACAAGCCTCTCATGTTATATGTTATGACTGCTTTTGTATACTTTGATATAATTAATAGATCTATGCCCAAAGTGTAATACCAACAATAAAGTCAATGAGCCAACATGTTGTATAAATTTTAAATTCTAACATAATTGTGTGTTGTAGTAATGAGCTTATGACCATCTATATGGACCACTACCATCTATGGTATGTTTTCACCACAATATTATGGTACCAGCAAAGATCAAAAAGGATTAATTTCATCTATTTAGCCATTATTATGACTATCTAGAAATTTAAGATGCTATAATATCCAGCATAATATAGCTCATAGCTATAACTATCTACATACAAAAAATTCCTTTGGCAATAGCATGATAAGACAAGTCATTGATAAGAACAATATAAAGTGTCTTAGAAGCTGATGTGAACTTTAATTTCTATTTTCAAGCTAACATATAAAATTCAAATAAATAATTATTATTTATAATCATAAATTTTATCAACTCAATAAAGGCCTTTTGTTCCAATTCCTTTATTTTCTGTCTTAAATTGGCAATAACCTCTTGAGATGAATCTTTATTTTCATTGTTAGCCAATGGATGAGAATTCAAAATAGGATTTAAGAAAATGCTCTCTCCTTGAGGGTCCAAATACAATCTAATTATCTACACAAAAATGTAACAGCATACATTATGTACTCACTTGCCTTAGGAATAAAGATAAGTCCAAGAAACAGTGATACTTCAATAAGCAATCCTAATCCAAACAATGCTGAATAGGTATTATGATGAGTTGCAAGAGCAAACTCAGTCACTGTTGACAGAACTAGTATGATGCTGTTTATATAAATGATTGCAGCAATTTCTTTCGATTTATTGAGGATTCTGACTTCAACACGGAGAGTATGGAATGCCATAAAAAATAACCAGTAATTGAAGTATACCTTTATAACCAAATGAAAGTCCTAGCCATGTAAGACTTTCATATCTTGTATTGCAAACAAAAATGTATCTCACCCTCATGGAACAAAAATGCATCAGCTTGATTTATTTCCTTATATTAATTATTTGAGGATGTTCACCATCTTTCTCTCTGAAACTGGTGAGTCTTGATTGCTAAGCGGCCTAAGCCATAGAACCAACAAAAATGATACCAATATCAATAGCAACAATGAATAGTGCTATAACTAAAAGCACCCAATCCTTGACTCCCTATTATAATATTAACTTTTTTGTTTGGTTTTGGATTATTAAAGATATAATATACCCTCCATGTTTTTGATAATATGACACCAAAGCACAAAAAGAAAACAGCCACACACGTACCTATATTGATTACAATTAAAGATTACAAAAAGTTGCACAATAGCAAGCTTACATTACAAATTGATGATTGTATTATTCTATTTGTTGAAGAATAAGAATAAAAAAAGGCACATATATATAGTAACACCAATCCCAGTATTGTGATGTGATTCAAATTTGAACTGGTTAATTTTACTATTCTATGACAAATGCATATACACATAACTCAAATAAATTCATCACCTAGTGCAATAATTTCGACATCTAACTTCTTTTTTCAAAAGATGATATTGAAAACAAAGCAAACAGTTGAAAGAACCAGTCCAAGTACGGCAGCTACATTATATATAATAACTAGTACGATACTGTTTCTGTCAATTCCAGTAACTGGATATCCATCATAAGGAGGGATTCCACCTAAAATAGATTGGAATACCAATCATCAGTATTATTATAAACATACTACTCCAAAGTGTCTCGTTTGATTCTCCAATAGCAAATTCAAAATAATTTTTATGAGGCTATAAATTTGCATAACCAAATATGAATTTAGTCAGTGTTCCATCTGTATAGAAAAAATAGTACATACCAAAATACCTTATTTACTTCATACTCTGTATTGTTAATATAGTATAACATGATCATTTCTGCTACCGTTTTCATTGAAACTTATTTCACCCTATTCATTAAAAATCAAATCCTAATTGAATACATAAATATTATACTCAGAGTGATGCCAAGAAAGTTGACTTCACTGAAACTTTGTTTTAAAATGCAGCCTAGTTTTGTGTTGGTGTAGTTAAATTGTTCCAATGGTACTAAATCTCCTGGTATATTCTCACACCCACTGTCATTACCAGATAATATCTTCTTTGATGTTATATCTAATCCAATAGCTATTGCCCAAACTCCATCAAAAACAATTCCAGAAAACTCTAACTCTGTTATATTTTTATATTGAGATGTATTTAGCAAACCAGCATGAATATCACGGTACACATGTGATGTCTGTTAATTTTTATGATAAATAACAATCAAACATTATTATGCCCACTACTAGACCAGAAAATGTAATTTGTGACTCATTCTGAAGTGCCAAATATTCATCAGGAACCCAGCCTATGGTTCCTGTTATAACTTCCATCATAATAGCATCAGTACAGGAAGGATTAGTAGATGATGTAGGACTACTTGACATCCACCACTTATGATTGTACCACATTGGATTAATCCATAAATAGTCAGAACCAGTCATACCTCTATGACATGCCTTCAAAAATCATATTTATAAGGATACATAATTAATCATCTCACACAATAGATTTATCTGATAAGCAATATCTTGGTATTTATTGATACAAAATATTCTAAAGCTCTGGAGTTCACTCTAATGGATTTAAAACACTATTTGATAAAGCAATACCTAAAAAAGACTAACTCTGCCAAAAAAGAGGGCTATGCCCTGTGATGACATCATATCTATCTAGACTAATACCCATCCTTCATTATTAAATCATTAAGATTGTCTGCCACCTGTATAATTATATTAATTATAAATCTCAATTTATACTTACTGCTCTGAATAAACTTTCATCTTGTGCTATGATTGATAATTTTCTCCATCCAAGTTCTCTCATTATTTGTCCCAATGATTCACCCTCTGAGTCTAATACATCTGTATATATAGTTCAGTGTATAGTTTTGAAGAATATTATCCCTCTCATTTATAAGTCTTAATGCCAGATCATAGATATGGCCAGATCAACAACTGGTATGTCTTTATTCCCTATAATAAAGGAGCCAGTGAGAGTAGTTATAATAGCCAAAGTGAAGAGGAATTTTCTGAGCAGCAGCATCTACAGTATCAATTTGCATAGGTAGCCAAAAGCAGCTCAGAAGAAAGAAGAACATCATCGTAGCTATTTTTGCAAAGACTAAAGGATTTGTGACTACACCTACGGCTACACACACGTAGACATTACACAGTGCATTGTGTCATGTTCCTGTGTTCCTTTAGTCTGTGTTCCTTTTAGATTGATTGTAGCTATACTGCTCTTAATGCTACCATAACAAATCATTTATAGTCTACCAAAAATATTTTTATAGTGAAAGAAACAGGGCTAGAAAATTTTTAGTAGCAAGGTTTGTTCTCAAATACTTCAATTTTTAAAGTTAATAATGCATCCAGTGATGATTCAAATGCCATGAGTAGTTAGTCATCTTATGACTGAATGTAACTAAATTGCATACAAACAACAATACAAAAATTCAACAATGTTAAAACACTAAATAAACGGTATGATGTAGCACAATAAATTTAGATACATATTACAATGTACTAGTTTTATATAAAATTGTCTGCTAGTCAATTTTCATCTTCACTTTTTAGCTAAAATAAAATTACAAATTAAAATAAAAATATTTATGATAAATCACCTCAATGAAAGTTTTTTGCTCCAATTCTTTTATTCTTTGTCGCAAATTGGTAATAATTTCTTCAGACGAATCTTTATTATCATTTTGAACTAATTGGTTAGAATTAGAAGAAGCATTTGTTCGTGTAAAAATCTTCTCTCCTTTAGGATCTAGATACAAGCGAATCATCTAAACAAAAAATATAAGAGCATCAGCATTATACACTTGCCTTAGGAATAAAAATTAATCCAAGGAACAGTGATGCCTCAATTATTAGGCCAAGTCCAAACAATGCTGAATAGGTATTATGATGAGTTGCAAGAGCAAACTCAGTCACTGTCAACAGAACTAGTATGATGCTGTTTATGTAAATGATTGCAGCAATTTCTTTTGATTCATTGAGGATTCTGACTTTGACACGGCGAGTATGAAATGCCATGAAAATAGCCAGTACTTGAAGTATACCTTTATAACCAAATGAAAGGCCTAGCCAAATAAGACTTCCAACTCTAGTATTGCAAACCAAAATCAAATTGTTTTGTATTTTATCCTCATCCTGAAGTAAATCAAACAAGAATGCATTAGTTTGAATTATCATTTCTTACATTAATTATTTGAGAATGTTCACCATCTTCCTCTTCAAAGCTGATGAGTCTTGATTGGGGAATGATAGAGCCAGCAACAATTATAACAATGTCAATAGCAACAATAAATAATACAAGAAGTAAAAGTACCCAATCTTTGACTCCCTATTATACATAAAAATTTAAAAATATCAAAGGTCACTTTACTTTTTTCTTTGGTTTTGAATGGTTGAAGATATAATATACCCTCCATGTTTTTGATAATATAACACCAAAGCAAAGACAATATCCCAAAGAAAATAGCCACACACGCACCTATAATTATCATGATGATAAGTATTTACAAAATAATGCTTACATTGCAGAATATTGCTTCTACAGTCTTATTGGCTGAAGAATAAGAATAAAAGAAGACACATACATACAGTAATACTGATCCAAGTATTATGATGAGATTCAAATTAGGACTGGTTAACTTTACTATTCTATGATAGACATACAGAGCAAAAACATGCAGCATGAGAGAGAATATGCCATACTTCTTTTTTCTAAAGATGATATTGAAAATAAAACAGCCAGTTGCAAAAACTAGTCCAAAAACAGCCACTACATCATAAATAATAACTAGTACAATACTGTTTTGATCAATTCCGGTAACTGGATATCCATCATAAGGAGGAATTCCACCTAAAATAGATTGGAATACAAATCATTATTATTATTATAAACATACTACTCCAAAGTGTGTTGTTTGATTCTCCAATGGCAAATTGAAAAACATTTCTCTGAGGACGAACAGTTATGCTACCAAATATGAATTTAGCTAGTGTTCCATCTACATAAAAATGCAATACTACTCGCTGTATTATGCTTTTATTATTTACTTGATACTCTGTATTGTTCATATAGTATAACGTTGTCATTTCTACTACCATTTTCATTAAACCTTATTTGACCCTATTTATTAAGAGTAAATTTATTTGAATTATAATCTTACAGTTATTCCGAGAAAGTCAACTTCACTGAAACTTTGTTTAAAAATACAGCCTAGTTTTGTGTTGGTGTAGTTAAATTGTTCCAATGGTACTAGATCTCCTGGTACATTCTCACACCCACTGTCATTACCAGATGATATTTTCTTTGATGCTATATCTAATCCAATAGCTATTGCCCACATTCCATCAAAAACAACTCCAGACAATCCAAGCTCTGTTATATTTTTATATTGAGACTTGTTAAGTAAACTGGCATACATGTCATTATAAGTACTTGAGGTCTGATTTATAATCAGCTATAAATAAGATTATATACATAGCTTTACTTACTAGACCAGAAAATGTAATTTGTGACTCATTCCGAAGTGTCAAATATCCATCAGGAACCCAGCCTATGGTTCCTGTTATAACTTCCATCATAATAGCATCAGTACAGGAAGAATTAGTAGAGGCTGAAGGACTACTTGACATCCACCAGTTATCATTGTACCACATTGGAATAATCCACAAGTAGTCAGGACCAGTCATACCTCTATGATACGCCTTTAGAAATCACATTTTAAGAATAAATAATTATTAAGTATCATATACCTCACACAATATGTGATACGCAATATCTTGGTATGTATTGATATAAAATATCCTAAAACTCTGGAGTTCACTCTAATAGATTAAAACACTATCTAATAAAGCAATACCTAAAAAAGGACTAACTCTGCCAAAGAAAGGATGTACACTTTGCTCTGATATGACATTATATCTATCTAATTCCCATTTTTCATTATTAAATATATCATTAAGATCATTTGCCACCTGCACAATTAAGTATAATTATTACTATTATAAATCTAGATCTTACTGCTCTGAATAAACTCTCATCTTGTGTTATGATTGATAACTTTTTCCATCCAAACTCTCTCATTAATTGTCCCAATGAATCACCAACATAGCGAAATGAAACAAGAGTGCGAAAGAAATTTCTAAATCTGGTTCGATCATTTAAAACAAATGCACCAGCTATTGCTGCTAGCTATAATAATGAGACAAACAATTTCACAACTATAGTAATACCAAACTTGGATAAACAGTTTACAAACACTTCATTTCTATAATAACTTTAAGACAATCATAGTCTAGCAAAATTATTATAGATCTAATGCACGAACTTGTGGTATGTTCCAGTAATGACTGATTTCTGCCACTGGTATGGTAGCTGTAGAACACCCACAACCCAATAGTGATACATATGTGATATCACTATTAATTAATTCAAAGAACCGATCAAGTGATACAGTGCGATTGCACTAGAGTAGAATACAATCAAAGTAATAAATTCTGCCTTATCAATATTTTACCTCTGAGTCTAATACATCTGTATAGTTCAGTGTATAATTTTGAAGAACATCATCCCTCTCATTTATAAGTCTTAATGCCAGATCAACAACTGGTATGCCTCCATCCCCTATAAATGAGCTACCAGTGAGAGTAGTAATATATCCAAAGTGTAGGGGTATTTTCTGAGCATCCACTGAAGTTCCAAGGTAAATCCAGAAGCAACTCAAAAGAAAAAAGCACTTCATCACACACTCTATGCCAGCATAGTATCTATCACGCCAGCATTACAGGTTTTGTTGCGTCATGGTTGCGTATGTAATTAATATTTTGCGCATCCTGTATAGTCTAGACATACCGGTAGATACTACAAACGTAGTATCTATGGTCTAGAGCAGCAATTATCTGTATGCTGCTGCCAATTTTGAGTGAATACATGTATAATATACATGCAGAAATGTTGTCTTTTTTCTCATGTTTTGACTGTGTGTGTGGTAATGATTGATGAATTAATATTAAGTTCTAAATTCTAAATAATTTGTTTTATAGATTTATAATTAAAATTAGTTCCTATAGATCTACTTCTTTGTCTCCTGATCATAATAAGCAGTCTTATTTAAGATTTTTTAAGATCTTTCATCTGCATATAAAGCATTAATTAAAATTTGGATTTTATAATCAATAACCTTAATTGAGATTTCCTGTTCCAATTCCTTTACTCTCTGTCGTAAATTAGCTGTAATTTCTTCAGGTGAATCTTTATTATCAATGCTGTTAGTTGTCATCATGGTGTTTACATGAGTGTTAGAAGTGTTGGCTTGTGTAAATATTTTTGCTCCTTGTGGATCAAGATACAAATGAATCATCTACAGAATATATAGGGAAGAATGATCAGCTATTTAAGTGCCACTGCACTTGCCTTAGGGATGAAGATGAGCCCAAGAAACAGTGATGCTTCAATGAGTAATCCTAATCCAAACAATGCAGAATAGGTATTATGACGAGTTGCCAGAGTAAACTCAGTCACAGTCAGTAGTAATAATACAATACTGTTTATGTATATGATTGCAGCAGTCTCCTTTGATTCATTGAGGATTCTGACTTTGACACCACGTGTGTGGAATGCCATGAAAATGGCTAATACTTGAAGTATACCTTTATAACCAAACGAAAGTCCCTCCCAGATAAGAGTTTCAGTTCTCGTATTGCAAACCACCACAAAGTTGTTTTGTAGTTTACCATCATCCTGAATTAATGTAATACATGTAATAATTTTTATCTACTTCCTCACATTTATAATTTGGGGATTTTCACCATCTACTACTTCAAAACTGGTCAGTCTTGATTGTGGAACTATAGTACCAATGAGAATGATAAAAACATCAATAGCAATAATGAAAGATACAATTAGGAAGAGAAACCAATCCTTAACACCCTATTGAAGGATTATAATTAATTTTATTGCAATTTGATCTTCAGGCTACATACTTTCTTTGTTGGCTTTGGATTGTTAAAGATGTGGTAAACCCTCCATGTTTTTGATAATATAACACCAAAGCAGAGACAATATCCCAAGGAAAATAGCCACACACGTACCTGTAAATATTATGATACTCACACACTTTATTTGATAATTATAATTTACATTACAGAATACTGCTTCTGTTGTCTTGTCTGTTGAAAGAAATGTATAAAAGAAGACACATATATATAGTAGCACTGATCCCAGTATTATGATGTGGTTCAAATTAGGACTGGTTAATTTTACTATTCTGTGATAAATGAACACTCTAAAAAATTGCACTACTAACACATCATGGCATACTTCTTATTTCTGAAGACAACATTGAAAATGAAACAAACAGCAGCAAATATTATGCCAAATCCAGCAAGTATATCATATATGACAATTAATGCAATACTGTTTTGGTCCAGTCCTCTTTCTGGAATTCCATCATAAGGGGGTATTCCATCTTAATTATTAAAAAAATTAAATTTGGATCATTGTAATACAAATTTACCTTTCCAAAGTGTACTGTTTGATTCTCCACTACTGAAAACAAATGAACTTCTTTGACCTTCAACATATACAGAACCAAAATGAACTTTAGTCAATCTTGAATCTATAAAATATTAAAATTAAAAAAGATTTATATGCTCTCATCTACTTGATAGTCTATATTGTTGATATTGTATAAATTCATCATTTCTAGAACCAAATTCATTGAACTTGACTTGACCCTACATAGAAAAATTTAAAAATTATACAATACTTATTAAAAACTTACAGTAACTCCAACAAAATCAATTTCGTTAAAACTCTTCTTAAAGATACAGCCTAGTTTTGTGTTGGCATAGTTAAATTGTTCCAATGGAACTAGATCTCCTGGTACATTCTCACACCCACTGTCATTACCAGATGATATCTTCTTAGATGCTATATCTAATCCAATAGCTATTGCCCAAACTCCATCAAAAACAACTCCAGAAAATCCAAACTTTGTTATATTCCTGTAACGAGATTCTTGAAGTAGAGCTGTATAATTTCCAAGGTAGGCATTTGGTGTCTAATTAGAAAAGTGCCAACTAATATTTTCTATTTTACCTTAATTCAATCTTACCAGACCAGAAAATGTTGTAATAGATTCATTCAGCGTCAAATATTTACGTGGAATCCAGCCTATGGTTCCTGTTATAACTTCCATCATAATAGCATCAGTACAGGAAGGATTAGTAGATGATGTAGGACTACTTGACATCCACCAATTATCATTGTACCACATTGGAATAATCCATAAATAGTCAGAACCAGTCATACCTCTATGATATGCCTTTTAAAACAGTATTTTAAAACATTGTAAGCATAAATAAATATACTTCACATAATAGCTGATAAGCCATATCTTGATATGCATTAATATGAAAGATTCTAAAGCTACCAGTTTCACTCTAAATATTTAAAGTAAAGTAATAGAGTAAAGTAACAAGTAACCAACTCTATCAAAGAAAGGAAGAGGACTTTGTCCTGATGTTACATCGTATCTATCTAATGTCCATCCTTCATTATTAAAAATATTGCTAATATTTTCAGTGACCTAAAGGCAAGTGAATTCATCTTTAAAAATAAGAGCTTACTAATGAGAATAGGCTCTCATCTTGTGTTATAATTGACATCTGCCTCCAACCAAATTCTCTCATTAACTGTCCCAATGATTCACCAACATCATGAAATGGAACAGAAGTTCGATAGAAATTCCTAAACTTAATTCGGTTGTCCAAAGAATTAGCTGCAGATACTACAGAAAGCTGCCAAAGTATGAGACACATTATGGTAAACTAAAGCGGTATTATGTACACTTATCATTGCATTAATACCATTAAATATAATTAGCTATTAAGGTATAATTGCACAAATAGAATACTGTATAGCTGTTTTTTTGAGGATAACAAATTTCTCAAATTTTACAAATTTTTTAAGATTTGCAAAATTAAATTCCTTAAAAGTCAATTCAATACGAGACAAGACAGCATAATAGTGGAAATTCACAAAAATTAATTGTGTGAACCTCCGGGTACAGGTCATTTGCAATAATTATTACACTCAAAAACATGCTATACAGAACAAAATATTTGCAGTGAATTATAGATACTACATAAGCAAATAGCCTTACCAATTTCATTTATTTTTTATCTATTTTATAGATATTATTTGTGTGTGTAATATTTATGTCTGAATATAAACATACAATTCATTTTGTATAGTACAAACTTGTGGTATATTCCAGTAATGACTGAGCTCTGCCACAGGTATAGTAGCTGGTGAACATCCACAACCCAATAATGATATATATGTCGTATTGCGATTAATCAGCTCGAAGAATTGATTGAGTGACATTGTACGATCACACTACAATAGTTAGAAATAATAATGATTGTATTGCACATTAATTTACTGCTGAATCCAACACATCTGTATAGTTAAGTGTATAATTTTGAAGAACATCATTTCTCTCATTTATAAGTCTTAATGCCATATCAACAACTGGTATGCCTCCATCCCCTATAAAGGAACCAGTGAGAGTAGTAATATATCCAAAGTTGAGTGGTATCCTCTGAGAGACTACAGTATTGAGGCACATTATATGCATCCAAAAGCTGCTCAAAAGAAGACAGAGCTTCATCGCTAAACACAACCCGACGTAAAGAGTTTTAAATCTAAACAGAATAAATCGACCAATCAAATCATAGATAGCTAGTCTAGTCCCCGCGCGCGTGATGATTTCTAGCGGTGATAAAATAGCAAAATCTGCCTGAATTATTACCTTTACTGTCCTTTAGATTTACTTAATTATTGTGTAGATATTAGAGTAAATCTATCATAATTATTTAAAATAATTGCTATAAAATGATTTTAAATACTATTAAGACGACCCAGTTGTTCATTAATAATTCTGGCACAACTAGGCATGGTGGCATAGACTGATGAATTTTACACTAAGCAACTTTTGCTAGCATATTAGAATCCCAACATTTATGCAAGCAATTAGTAGACTTAGACTATTTTCTTCCCTATAACTTAAACAGCAGTTATGATGTTTGAAGATGCTGGAGTCAGTTGTTTAAGTAAGCACACATAATTAGCTCAACTTGCATTACATAATCAACTTCTAACTCATTTCTTCAGGTCCTACTGGTTCATTACGTCTTTAGATGGCAGCTTGTTTATATTAATTTTGTTACATTTTAACAATAATTTTTTTCCAACAATATTTTGATTAAATAGAGTGTGTTCAACCTAAAATCTCTTCCATTTTCTAGTCTAACACTTTTAAGACAATTCTTTCAATTTCTGCTTCAATTCCTTTACTCTCTTTTGTAAATTTGCAATAGTTTCTTCAGATGAATTGTCAATTGTGCTATTATTAGCTATGGCATTAACATGGGAGCCAGATGTAGCTGCTGATTGAGCAAAAATTTTCTCTCCTTTAGGATCAAGATACAAATACACCATCTAAAAATAATTAACTTAATGTCAATTAAAATGTATTCAATGCACTTGCCTTAGGGATAAAGATAAGTCCAAGAAACAGTGAGGCTTCAATAATCAATCCTAATCCAAATAGTGCTGAATAGGTATTGTGACGGGTAGCAAGAATAAACTCAGTCACTATCAGTAATACAAGTATGATACTGTTTATGTAAATGAATGTAGCTGTCTCCTTTGATTCATTGAGGATTTTTACTTTGACACGGCGAGTATGAAATGCCATGAAAATGGCCAGTACCTGAAGTATACCTTTATAACCAAATGAAAGCCCTAGCCAAATAAGAGTTCCAACTCTGGTATTGCAAACCAAAATGAAATTGTTTTGTACTTTGCCCTCATCCTACATGTGGATAAATGCAGTCTGTTCAATTGTTCTAACAATTATTTTTATACTTCATACGTTTATTTCTTGAGAATTTCCACTTTCTGCTACCTCAAAACTGGTCAGTCTTGATTGTGGAACTGTAGACCCAACAAGAATGATAATGATATCAATAGAAATAATGAGTAATACAATGAATAAAAGTACCCAATCCTTCACTCCCTATTAACAGATCATAATTAGTACATTATTTTAACTATACTATACTTTCTTCTTTGGTTTTGGATTGTGAAAGATATAATATATTCTCCATGTTTTTGATAATATCACACCAAAGCAGAGATCATAACCCAAAGAAAACAACCACACACGTATCTACAATAATTGTATTTGCGTGAAAATTTTTCAGTACTGCATGTCATTGGATGATGTCACTTACATTACAGAATGTTGATTGTATTGTTTTATTTGTTGACGAAAAAGAATAAAAGAAGACACATATGTACAGTAGCACTGAGCCCAATATTATGATGTGATTCAAATTAGGACTGGTTAATTTTACTATTCTATAATGAGTGACACGCAATGATGAGAAAGCTTCATACAAACATACATGTACCTCTTTTTCCGGAATATGACATTGAAAGTGAAGCAAACAATAGCAAAAATTATACCAATTCCAGCAACAACATCATATATAACAACTAGTGCAATACTATTAGTTGTGATTCCAGTTACTGGAAATCCATCATAAGGAGGCACTCCATCTTCATTAAAATTAATGATAAAAACATGCACTTGCTTTAATACATACCGCTCCAAAGAGTACTACTTGATTCTCCTGTTTCAAATGCAAAAAAGCTTCTTTCTGTCTCAAAACTTACATAGCCAAAAGAATATCTAGCTGGCGCACCATCTTATGACAATTGATTTAACTTAACAAATGGCATAATAATTAGCTTACTTAACACTCTGTACTGTTGATATAATATAACATTATCACTTCTAGCTCCATTTTCATTAAATTTTACTTGACCCTATTTGTTCCTTAAAATAATTTCATAGCTTTATACAATTATATTTACTGTTATTCCAAGAAAGTCAACTTCACTGAAACTTTGTTTAAAAATACAGCCTAGTTTTGTGTTGGTGTAGTTAAATTGTTCCAATGGTACTAGATCTCCTGGTACATTCTCACACCCACTGTCATTACCAGATAATATCTTCTTTGATGCTATGTCTAATCCAATAGCTATTGCCCACATTCCATCAAAAACAACTCCGGAAAACCCTAACTGTGTTATATTTTCATAAGCAGGCTCTTGAAGTATAGCAGTATAATTATCAAGGTACATACGTGAAGTCTAAAAGTAATCAAGTAAGTACATTGATTATACCAGTTAAAAGATACATGTACTTACCAGGCCAGATAAAGTAACTATTGATTCGTCTTGAAGTGTTGAATATCCATAAGGAACCCAGCCTATTATTCCACTTACAACCTCAAGCATAGCTTCATCAGTACAGGAGGGATAATTAGCGGACGAGTAACTACTTGACCTCCACCAGTTATCATTATACCACATTGGAACCATCCACACATAATCTGGACCAGTCATTCCCCTTTGATATGCCTTTAAATGTGACACTGTGAATTTGAGTATACATGCATGGATAATAAATAATACCTCACACAATACTTGGTAACCAATATCCTGATATGCATTAATGTGAATAATTTTATAGTATCCTGCTTCATTCTATACCATTTAGAGTTCAAATACAGTTAATTTAGAACATGCATGTAGCTAACCCGGTCAAAATAAGGAGAAGGACTTTCTCCTGAAGTAACATAGTATCTGTCTAATATCAATCCTTGTTCACTCAAGTAACGGTAAAGATTATTTGTCACCTGAACATCAGTGAAACAAATCATAAAAATGAACTACATAATCTTACTCCTGTGAATAGACTTTCATCTTGTGTTATGATTGACATTTGTTTCCATCCGAAATGCTTTATTAGCACTCCAACTGATGCACCAACATAACGATATGAGACTAGTGTTCGGAAAAAATTTCTAAATCTGCTTCGGTCATTCAAAACACTAGCAGCAGCTATTGCAGCTAACTAAAAATAATATATAAAAAGTACATGTATTGTGGCATTGAATATCCTAGGATTTAAAAACTAGAAATTACTTGTGGTATGTTCCAGTAATGACTAATTTCAGCCACTGGTATAGTAGCTGGGGAGCATCCACATCCCAATAATGATACATACGTAGTATTACGATTAATCAGCTCAAAAAATCGATCAAGTGATGTCGTTTGGTCACACTACAATGACACATAAAAGGTGGATGATGACAATAATTATTGTACCACTGAATCCAATACATCAGTATAGCTTAGTGTATAGTTTTGTAGAATATCATCTCTATCGTTTATGATTCTCAGTGCCAAATCAACTGCTGGTATGCCTCCAGAACCTATAAACGGGCCAGTGATGGTAGTTATGTATCCCATGCGAAGTGGAATCCTTTGAGCATCCACAGCACTTAGACACAATAGCCACAAGGTACTCCATATCCACACAAGAAAACACCTCATCTTTTGAAATGGGATGTTTATTTTAAAGTAAAAAACCATAGATACACGGCGCCAGGTTATTAAAATTTAATTTAATTGTTTATGCTGGCTACGCGACACTAATGCAGGTGCGTATTGACATAGATATTATAGACTACGTAACCGGGATTGGAAACAGATCACGTGATCCCATTCAAATCAATGTAACTATTCAGGTACAGTCTCTGTGACATCGACAGTGAGAGGCGGACGAAAATGCCTGACATGGCTGGAAAGAATGGTCTCTAGTGAAGTCCCGCAAGCTATTTCACCTGTACTTGGGCTCTTATAATATACGCACATGTTTATATTTTTCTTTGATACAAAAATAAAATGTGTTAGCTGTGTAAAAACAGGTGTTTAAAGCAAGTGCGCTCCCCGTGACAAGAGATAATGTCTTATTCTCCCTCCTGCAAACAAGCTTTAGCTACCCCAGTTTCATTTTATGATTAAAACTATGCACAAGGCCATGCTACATGAGAATAGACTGGTTAGTTCTGCCTGCCATATTACTGAGAGCAGAAATCCACCAAAATAACGCCAAAAAGTGGCCGATCTGTTGTACCTCTCCCGAGCGAACTAAGCATAGAGACACGAAGAGAAAGGTACCATCGTGATCTCTGGTATTTTCTTTATGCGATTAAGCTACTTAGAACCAGCTACATCACAGTATATTATTAATACGGCTCATCAAACATAACAATTCTTCATAATTTTCACCATTTTGATGCAAATTCATGCAATTTCATGCATTAATAATCACACAGTCTGTACACGTGACGTCATCAGTTTCCAATCCCGGTTACGTAGTCTATAATATCTATGGTATTGAGAACGGTACGATGATTATTTTTTTTTGAATAAAAATAATTTTGTGTAAATTTGATAATCTTATCTATGATAACATTAATTTTATTCTACTTCTCCATCCCATTTTCTAGTGCTTTAAGATAATTCTTTCAATTTCTGCTTCAATTCCTTTACTCTCTTTTGTAAATTTGTAATAGTTTCTTCAGATGAATTGTCAATTGTGTTATCATTTGCTATTGCATTAACATGGGAGCCAGATTTAGCTCCTGATTGAGCAAAAATCTTCTCTCCTTTAGGATCAAGATACAAATACACCATCTAAAAAATAATTAACTTATTGTCAATTAAAATGTATTTAATGCACTTGCTTTAGGGATAAAGATGAGTCCAAGAAACAGTGATGCTTCGATAAGCAATCCTAATCCAAACAATGCTGCATAGGTATTGTGATAAATGGAAAGAGTGAACTCGGTCACTATCAGTAATACAAGTATAATACTGTTTATGTAAATGAATGCAGCTGTCTCCTTAGATTCATTGAGGATTTTTATTTTGACATGGCGAGTATGAAATGCCATGAAAATAGCCAGTACTTGAAGAATGCCTTTATAACCAAATGAAATCCCTAGCCAAATAAGAGTTCCAACTCTGGTATTGCAAACCAAAATGAAATTGTTCTGAAATTTCTCATCTTCCTAAATAAATGTAATGTGTTCAAATGTTGCAGCAATTGATCTACTTTTTACATTTATTTCTTGAGGATTTCCACTATCCACTACCTCAAAACTGGTCAGTCTTGATTGCGGAACTGTAGATCCAACAAGAATAATAATGATGTCAATAGCAATAATGAGTAATATTATGAATAAAAGTACCCAATCCTTCACTCCCTATTAACAGATCATAATTAGTAGATACATTATAGTACTACTATACTATACTTTCTTCTTTGGTTTTGGATTGTTAAAGATATAGTATACTCTCCATGTTTTTGATAATATCACACCAAAGCAGAGATTATAACCCAAAGAAAACAGCCACACACGTATCTAAAATTAGTATTATTACATAAAAATTTGTCATTACCACATGTCACCAATATTGGATGATGTCGCTTACATTACAGAATGTTGATTGTATTGTTTTATTCATTGAAGAAATAGAATAAAAGATGACACTTATGTACAGTAACACTGAGCCCAATATTATGATGTGATTCAAATTAGGACTGGTTAATTTTACTATTCTATAATGAGCGACACACAATGATGAAAAAGTTTCATACAACACTATCTACCTCTTTTTCCTGAAGATGATATTGAAAATGAAGCAAACAATAGCAAAAATTATACCAATTCCAGCAACTATATCATATATAACAACTAGTGCAATACTATTAGTTGTAATTCCAATTACTGGAAATCCATCATAAGGAAGCACTCCATCTTCATTAAAATGATGAAATAATTATGCAACATACTGTATACATACCACTCCATAAAGTACCCATAGACTCTCCAGTTGCAAATTCAAAAAAGCCTTCTTTCCATGGTGTCTCAAAAGTTACATAGCCAATGAAATATCTACCTACTTCACCATCTAAAGGCAACAGAATTTGTAAATGGCATTTATCCATAGCTTACTTATCACTCTGTATTGTTGATATAATATAACATTGTCATTTCTACTGCCATATCTATTGAACTTTATTTGACCCTATAGCAATAAGTTTATACCGTATACGCTATATATTTCAAGGGAATTAAATTTCATGATTTTCTCTTTTTGGAAAAATTGGGAAAATTAAAATCTACAAAATAGTGTGCTGTTTGTACAGCAAGTGTGGTAATTACAATACAATCATGAAATTTTTATTTGTGAATACAAAAAAGCAGCCAAATTGTAAAATTTTACACCCGAGAAACATATGGCATATGCGATACAATTTATTGTTGAAGTATAATCTTACAGTTACTCCAAGGAAGTTAACTTCACTAAAGCTTTGTCTCAGAATACAGCCTAGTTTCATGTTAGTATAGTTAAACTGTTCCAATGGTACTATATCTCCTGGTACATTTTCACATCCACTTTCATTACGTGATAATATCTTTTTTGATGCTATGTCTAGTGCAATAGCTATAGTCCACACTCCATCAAATGCAACTCCTGAAATTGCTAGTGCTGTCAGGTTTTCATACATAGGCTCATTTGTAAGTAGATCAGTGTAGTTTGAAAGATACTCACCCGAAGTCTAAAAAATAGTACAGGAATTGAAATTAATATTATGCATAATTTACCTACTTACCAGACCA